GCCCGATGCGGGACTCGATCCCGGGACTCCAGGATCATGACCTGAGCCGAAGGCAGTCGCTTAACCAACTGAGCCACCCAGGCGCCCTATTTTAAAAAATAGAATAGAAACTAAAAGAGAATATCAGAGTGGTTCTCAAAAAGTAAGGTTAAGTAAGACTTTTATTTTGTTATACATTTACATTTGTGTGTATGCTGGGTCACAGTTTAATAATATATTTCTTAACTTGGATTGCAGCCAAGCATATGAAATCTAATTATTGTAATAGCCCCATCTACTGGTACTTATGGATATTGCCCCTGAAGGATTTTAGGAGGATAGTGGCTTATGGTTATTTTTATGCTCTGTGCCTTTGTATGGACTGTTCCTTTGTGATTTCATAGTATATATATAGATTTTTTTCTGAATAATAATATTTATCATTAACACATGTCTAGATTCTTTCTGATCAATACCAGATGCAGGATGTATTAGAAAAATCTGATCATTTGATGGCTGAAGCAAAAGATCTGTTTGTTCATTTTCCCCGTAGGCGCACAGGTAACGTATTTCATTCAAACAAACGCTTCTTTTTCTTATTAATCATAGCCCACAATGGCTGTTTGGAAGAATTTTAAATCTTTTTTTGGGCATCACATTATTTATAGTACAAGTAGTCTGGAGTGGATAGCATACAGGAGTTGTTCGGCATAGATTCATTATAATTTGTTTGCTTTTCACTAAGAATATTAACTATTACAAATTACAGAGCTAAGCAAAGGTAAGTTGTTATTGTTTACTAGTATACTTTATGGTGCAATGTACAAGATTTTATTGTAAATATGACTTAATTTCCAGTTTATTAATGTTAAGTTACCGCAAAAGTATCTATTTATATAAAACTTGAGTAAAGCTTAATTTGAAGCCTAAGGCTACTTCAGTCTCTCTCTTGTCAGGTACATAGCATTATTCACTTTAAAATGTGTATATAATCCATTGTTTATTTTAATCCCTAAAAACAGATCATTTGTTTTTAATTTAAGGTTTGAATCCTGGCTTAACCATTTATTAATGTGACTCTGGGCCATTTGCTTCATGTCTCTGAGTTTCAATTTACTGATCTATAAAATAATAATAGTAACAACCTCATCAGATTTTGTGAGGGTAAAATGATTTAATATATGTAAAAGCATTTAGAACAGTGCCTGGCATATAGTAAGCATTATCTAAGTGTGAGCTGCTATTATTATTATTTAAGATTTTTATGTGCTAATACAAACCTATGGCAGTGGATAGTGCTTGCGAAGTCAATTTAATTAAATGAAGTAAAATCATCATGACTTCTTTTCCTTCTGCAGGGTTTCCGAATGTAACTATGGCTCCTGATTCCTCTCAGGGTCCTATTTTGGTAAATCAAGACCCTGTCACGCAGGCCATTCTTAATGAATCCATCACGGAGCCTCAGGTAATGAGCTGTCCTTATAGCCATCGTGCTTATGTTGAAATTAAGTTTATGTAGGTATTGTGGTAAACATTTCAAAAACTTAAATATCAACAAATACTAAGTATGGTTGCTACAATTGTTCTTACTCAAGCATATTGCACTTTTGGTGAGTAATGTTTGTACCAAACAGATAGGACTGGATAATAATGCCTACGAGGTAGGTACTATCATGACCTCCATTTAGCAGATAAAAAAAACTGAGGTTCAGAAAAATTAAGTGCCTTGTCCAAGGTCATATAGCTAGTTAGTATCAGAGATGGCATTCAAATTGAGGCTCCATCTGCCATTATGGAAACAGTGGGGAGTCTTTTCACTTCCACTGTAGAGTGAGGCGGATCTGTGTTTACATTCTGTTAGTCCTAGTTGTTGGATCTTGAGTTGATTTTTTGTTTAATGGGAATAGAATATACTCACTATGGTTGTTGTGAGGATGAGCGGAGATAAGTTATGTAAAGTGTCTAGTGTAATTCCAGAGACTAGTTCTTCATTAAATGTTAGTCTCTTCTAATAGTGTGTTTAGAAAGTAGCTACCCAGGAGACTTGGAATTTATTGACCAGTTACGTGGGAAAATTATATTATTGTAGTAAAATGTTAATTAGCTATATCCTAACCTAACTGAAACTTAATTAAAATGTTTAGAATTTGAAATGGGAAACATCTTTTAAAAGCTCATGAAGAATTTAATATTAAAATAAAACAACTTCTTAGGACTGACTAGGACTCAATACCTGTTTAGTGCCATTTCCTAGGTTATTTATATGTCCTATGAAAAAAGGAGAATCATCAATTAGAGGGATGATCCTAGGGAATTACAAGGTCCAGAATCATTAAAAAAAAATCTTAAGTCTACTGTTTTCTGCTTACAAAGGCAATTAAGTAGAATGTTACATGTTTTAAATAGCCAAAACCCATTAGCCATATCTCCAGCCAAAAGCCATTATGTTTTGGCACTTAATTAAAAATGTTAGCTTTCAGATAATCATGGTCTCTATTATGGGAATGGGGGAATGGCAGGGCTGGGGCTAGAGAGACAGGGAGGAGCTAGGGCTAAAGAACCAGAAAGTGAGAGGAGAGCCACCAAAGGATTTTAGGAAGAGTAGAGTCATGATGAAATCAACTGTAGAGTGGAGGCAGGGTTTGGGAAAGAACAAGACTGGTGAGAGGATCTGGTTAGAAGACTAGGTTAGAATTTTAGTGGAAGTGGGAGGGCCTAACCTAAGCAATGGCAGAGAAGGAGGTAGAGGGGAAGAGGGATAGGTTTGAGAGATTAAAAAGGGATAGAATTGACAGCATTTGGTAGCTGATTGGATGTGACAGATGAGAAAGAAGCATAACTCCCAGTTTGCTGGCTTGAGCTTCTCAGTAGATGGTGATGCTGTTCATGGTCTTAGGTAATATGGCAGGAATAAAGCTTCTGGAAGAATGATAGGAGAGGCTTAGGAAGATGACCAGTTTTGGACATGTTTAGTTTATGTGTGTAGGATGTCTACTAGGAATATCCTTTAGGCAGTTGGATATAATTGTCTAGGACTCCTAAGAAATCTGGGTGAAGATAGAAATTTGAGAACTCACAGCATTTGACTTGTAATTGCAGCTTTGGAACTAGATATAATCATTCAGAAAGGGAGTCAGATGAGAGGAGAAAAGGTCCAAAGGGAGGACCTTGAGTCCCACCAGATATTAAGAAAGGACAGAAAGAAAAGAACCAATAAAGGAGATTGGGAAGGAAGAGCCAGAAGAACAGAAGAAAAACCAGGGAAATATGGTATCTTGGCAGTTAAAAGGAAGAATGTATCAAGATGATCTTGAAAGAAAGAAAGGAATGGTCATTAATGTCCAATGAATCAGAGAAGTAAGGGAAGGCAGAGACTGAAAAATATTTTATTTAGGAACAAATCAAAAAAGGATGTTGACCTTATAGACAGCAGTTTGAGTGGAGTGGTAGGGCAGAAGCAAAGCTGTAGGGCATAGGTGGTAAATGAGAAGTGGGGGATGACTCTTTCAAGAAGTTTGGTGGTAAAAGAGAGAAGATACAATGAGAGAGACTTGTTCACATTTAAATGCGGATGAGCTGAAGCCAGTATAGAGAGGTTGAAGATGCAGGAGAGGGAAGGGGCACTTGATGGAGTGGAAGGAGGTGAGAGGGTTTAGGTCCTAGAGCACTTGTGGAGATGTTAGCGGTAGAAGGAGGGACCTCTCTATTATAATGACAAGAAGAAACAAAGGATGAGTGTACATATGACCAACTTGTGTTTTTATTTTTATTGTTATGTTGAGAAAGGCTCTTAATGAAGTAGATGATGATGAAGAACGAACTGGTAACAGCCAGTCCGAAGAAAGTGAGAATGAATTGGATAACTCTCTAAACTCTCAGTCAAATATGAATGTAGATAGGTATGTATATATGGCATAAATATCTACAGGGCTTCCCTTTTTCCAAGGCCATTTCTTGTGTTTCCCAGCTTTATTGAGATATAATTGACATATAATGTGTAAGTTTAAGGTGTACAATGTGCTTATAATATTTCTACTTGTGGAACTTAATGATGTTTTCTTTGTGACCTAATATATGATTAAATTTTTGTGAATGTTCCACTTGTGTGCTTGAGAAGAAGGTATATTCTATATTAACAAGGTATAAAGTTCTATATGTATATCCTTAAGATCTACTTCATTGATGATGTTGTTTACTTCTTCTGTGTCTTTACTTATTTTTGTCACTATCTTATTTTGAGAGTAGTGTATTAAAGGCTCCGTTAGTGTGTTTCTATTTTTCTGTGCGTATGATGTTCAAGTATATTTAATTCTGTTTGAAGGTAAATACCTCCATCCTGATTGGTGTGTTTTTTGGTACATGGATATCCATAAGTATTGTATTTTCATTGTGAATTATGGCTTTTAGCATTATAAAGTATCCTTTGTCACATTTAATGCCTTTTGGCTTCAGTTCTACTTTGTTTGATATCAAGAATGAAAGCTCTGCCTTCTTGTTTCTAATTGCCTGGTTCATTTTTGCTCATTCTTTTATTTTAGCTTTTCTGAATTACTGTGTACTAGGTGTATCTTTTGTATTCAACACAGAATTGGGTCTTGTCTTTTCAGCCAGTTTGAAAATCTTTTTTTTTAATTGGTGAAGTAAGCTTGTAATATTTATTGATATAGTTGATGTGTTTGATGTCAACTTTGTCATATTATTTTATAGTACTATATACATTATACTATAATAATAGTTTTCCTTCTCTATGTAATGTTTTCTCTGTTCTCTTAAACATTTCTTTTGGTGTTTAGGAAGTTTGTAATTTTGTTTTGGCTGGTTGCCTTTATATCTACCATTTATAGAGCCATTTAGTCCCCTATTTTCTTTAACCTTTTGCTTTCAGGTGTGTTAGCTTTAAATGGTATGCTTTGACTCCACCTATGGCCTGTGCAACAAATAATTTATTCTATATTCTCATTCTTTCCTTTTTTCCCTCTGTCCTTCTTCTCTTTTAGCTGCATTTTTTTTTTGCTTTGACAGGACATAAAACATTTACATATTATTCTTCCCTGTGTATTGCTATTTTTGTTTTAGTCTTGGAGCTACAGTTAAATATATTAAATGCTCATCATCAGTCCTTTTATGATGTTTCCGTAGTTAACTCTTGGTTGGATCACTCATTTAGACAAACTCATGCTGTAGGGTTTGTGAGTTCTATTCTTTGAGTTCTTGATAGCTTAAAAGTTTTTCTATAGCTTTGATATTTGAAGGACAGCTTGGCTGGATATAAAATCTTTGATGCTTTGTTTCCTTAACTTTTTTGAAAATGCTTCTCCACTCTTGGTTTACTTTGAATGTTGCTTTGACAAGTCTGATGCTAGAATAATTTTCTTGCCCTTATAAATAATTTGGCATTTTTATGTATTGATTTCCTTTATATTTAAAATTTATTTCTTTTATCTTTAAAATTTAAACATTGCTAAACTGTGTCTTGAGTTCACCTTTTCAGGTCGGTTTTTCCAACACCGTTGGCTTTTTTTGTGTGTAGATTCAGTTCTTTTCTTTCTTTCTTATTTTTTTTTTTCCTGGAAGTTTCCTTGGGTTATGGTTTCAAATATTAGTTTGATATCATTGGTTTTTTTTTTTCTTTTTCAGAGATTCCTTTTATATATATATATAAAAGTGATGTTTCTTGTTTTCTATTTTTTTTTTTTTTAAGATTTTATTTATTTATTTGACAGAGAGACAATGAGAGAGGGAACACAAGCAGGGAGAGTGGGACAGGGAGAAGCAGGCTTTCCGCTGAGCAGAAAAGGGAGCCCGATGTGGGGCTCAGTCCCAGGACCCTGGGAGCCCGATGTGGGGCTCAGTCCCAGGACCCTGGGATCATGACCTGAGCCAAAAGCAGACTCTTAACGACTGAGCCACCCAGGTGCCCCTTATTTTCTATTTCAAGTACTTTATCTCTAACCTTTTTTATTCTTTATTTTTTGTTGTTATTTTCCTGTAATTCTTCAGTCTTCCTTATTAAATGTTTATTTAACAATTATCCATTGGGCACATTGTAATTTAATCTTTATTTCTGAGTTTTTCTTTTTCTTCGTATTTTTTCGTGAGTCCAATCCATTCTTATTTTGTTCCTGCTTTTTGTCCACCTCTGCTCTTAGTTTTAGAACTTCTGATTCAAGATATATATCTTCAAATGCTTATTTAAGTATATTTAATTCCATTTAAAATGTTTGTTTCTTCTGCTTTTTCTTGGGAGGGGAGAAATTTTTATTAGTTGGAATATTTCAATTAAATTTTCTATTTTGTTATATTGTCTTGTATGGGTGTAGACTGTTTTAGTTTGTACATTTTGTGGAGAGGGTTGGGAGTTTGGGGTGGGTCTTCTCTCAATTATAGTGCAGCACAGTTATTTTAATGGATGCCTTTTTTTTTTTAAGTATCAGTGGGGGAAAGTTGGGTTTGTTCTCCAATACTGTTTTTTTTTTTTTTTTGTCTTGAACTGGTCTCCCTAGTTAAGTGTGTTATGATAATACACTCTTTTTTTTGCCTTCAGCACTCAGCCTCCTAAGAACTCTTCTTTCTTCCTGTTCACATCAAGAAGTGATGCCTTTCCAAGACCTACCACCTTGGGTTCTACACACTTCTTGGTAGTATTTTGACTGCCCAGGTTTGGGGTTTGTGTGTGTGTGTATGTGTGTTTCCTTCCTTTTTAAGTATTTGCATACTTAGAGTGGACTTTTTCTTTCTGGAGGTGATTTTGTCACCATTAGGCTCTCTGCTTTCTTCCCTGTTTGGTCATTTTCAACTGCCCTCCCTTCCTGCTAGGGCTTCTGACAGGAGCTCAAGAAATATCTTTGCTGGAGTTCAGTGTGTATTTTTCTACTTACAGATAATTTGAAGTTAGTAGTATTTTCTGTCTTCCAATAATGTAGAAGGTATGGGTTATGTGCTATTTTTGCTCTTTTTGTTGCCCTGTCTAGTGGGTTTTGGAGGATGTGTGGAGTGATTCAAATTTAGCTGGTCACTCTTTCCTTAAGGACACTTGGAAACATGTATCATCTTTTAAGCCACTTTTTCTTTCAGAACCCAAATATAACTAATCTTGTGCCAACATTGCTTTTATTCTTTACATTTGAATCAAATTTTTGTTTTTTTATTTGGTCAGGCAAAGTTAGTTTTATCCCATTGGTTGTGTGAATAGGTGGTTTCCAGTTTTGAATACCTTATGTCTCAAAATGTTACTTGTTAACTATTAAACATGAGGTATCAGAAGATGCATTAGACTTGGTATCTGGAGACTAAGTGCCTTCTGGTTTGAAAATTTCTCTGAATATATATTCCTGTATAACCTAAAACAACAGAAATTTATCCTCTCACAATTCTGGAGGCAAGAAATCTGAAATCAGTTTCATTGGACCAAAATCAAGGTTTTGTCAGGGCTACACTTCCTCCAGAGGCTCTAGAGGAGAATCTGTTCTTTGCCTCATTCAGGTTTTGATGGCTGTTGGTCTTCCTTGGCTTGTGACAGCTGCATCATTCTAGTCTCTGCCTCTGTCTTCACATCACCTTCTCCTCTGTGTGTATGTTAAAGTCTTCCTTTGCCTCTCTTTTATAAAAATATACATGATCCCATTTAGGGCCCACCCAGGATAACCTCACATCCCAAGATCCTTAACTTAATCATACCTGCAAGACCCTTTTTGGCCATTTACAGGATCCAGGGCTTAGAACATGGACATATCTTCACATCCTACCGTAGTCCACTCAGTGACCCACCTGCAAAATTTATATTCACCCCCATTTCAATATTCCCCAGTGTCTCTGCATGAAACTCAAGTTCAGAATCTCATCTAAATGTCATCAGCTCAAACCAAATCTTATCGTCTCAAGCAGGTATGGGTAAGCTCTGAATAAGACCCATCCTGGGCAGTATTCCTCTCTACATATGATCCTGTGGAACTAGAAAACAAGTTATCGGCTTTGAAAATGCAATGATGGAACAAGCATAGGATAATAATTTATAGACATTCCCAGTTGAAAATCCAAGGAAGAAAGGGGTCACCTGTCCTAAGCAACTTTGAAACCCAACAGGGCAAATTCCATTAGGTTTCAAAGCCTGGTAATAATCTTCTATGTCTTGAGGCTTCACCCTTTGGGTCCATGGCTCCGTCCTTTGTGCCTGTGGCTCTGGCCTTAGCCTGTGTACCCGTGGGTTTGGCCTCTGTATCTGCAGCTCTGGCCTTGAAGTCATTCTTCCTTTTCCTTGAAGCCCATGTTTACAGCTGAGTAATTTTATCAGCCTGTTGGCTGACTCTAGAATTTTGGGAGTCTGACTCTTCCTTCATTTTATCCTATCTCTGTCCTTTTCAGTCCAAGCTGCAGTATTTCTGCTGGTACAACATTCTCAAAAGACCTTGTGTGTCTCCTTTGTATGTTGTATGCCATTAGACAAGAGTCCCTCCAGAGATCTTCCCTGGATAATCCCATCTATGTTGCTGGCTTCTGCTGAGATCATTGAGGGGATCCATGAGTCAGATGCCTAATCTTTTCAGATTAGCAAAACATTGTCTAGCAATACACTTGTCCTTCTCTCCAGGGAATGCTTTCCTAACAGTGTAGTGTCGCCTAATTTGAGCTTCTTTTGCATTCTGGGGAGGCTGAAAATTTCCCAAATCTCAAGTTCTGGTTCCTTTTGGCTTAATAGTTCTTCCCGCAGTGTATCTCTCTCCTCCTGCATTTTACTCTAAGCAGCAGTAAGAAGCAGGCTGCACCTTCAACACTTTGCTTGGAAATCTCCACAGCTAAATATCCAAGTTCATTGTTTACGAGTTCTGCTTTCCATGTAACTCAGCTATGTTTTCTGGCTCTTTTTATGGTTGTGTGGATGTAGTACATTTTACTTCTCCACACATCAATTGGTGGACATCTGGGTTGTTTCCACTTTTTTGTCACCTACCTCTTTTAAGTCTCAGTCCAATTGAGAAATAGATGAAGGAATCACGTGGTTGGAGATTAAATTATCAGCCTTATCAATGAGAAAGATGATTATAGCCAAAGGCTTAACTCCCTACGCTGCAGCCCTTCTTCCCATTCCTTCTCCCTGCTCCCAGAGACTCAGGGCAGAGTCTGCTCCAGTTACTTTACTTTAGTGAAGTGTTCTGAGGACAGCCTCCTTCACAGGAGAGAGAAACCAGTAAGGACCAAGCCATGTACTTTCTCTGGGAAAGAGAGAGGAGAATGGGGCCCCTACCACAAAACTCAGAAAGGGGAAATTGCTCCTGCGAGTAGGAGCCAAGGTAGGTGGGAAACTGGGAGGAAGATGGAATTATTTCTTCTAACACTAAGAAGACTGGCATTTTAGCTGTCTTATCAGTTAAAGCAAAATGTATTTTTTCTTTGATTATGAATTACTAAAAGTGCCCCCAATCAAACATGTAAGCAGTTGAACAGTTTAAATGATAGCATTTATTAATTCTAATATAGCTTGTTGCCCCATAATTTATAGGTTTCTCCACCAACTAAAGGAAGATAATTATGAGTTAATTAATAAACTGTGGACTGATATTCAGCAGAAAATAACAACACAGTCACAAACGCCTCCAGGAACTCCATCACCTGCTGCTCCATCAGGAGAACAAAAAGGTTTGTTTTCCTCCATTGTATTATTTCTCACAGAATAGTGACTTGTTTTATTATGTTCTTTCTTAAACGCAGTAATTTTTAAAGGACTGTTATTTGAGTTTTGACTGACTTTACCTAATTGAATGAAATACTGATTGATCTGTTAATTGGAATGCTTAAAACTTTTTTTGTTGTTCACTTGAGATTCTTTTGGAAATATTTTTTCTTTTAGCTGCTCTGAATGCTACCAATGCTGTCAAGAGAATCCAGACCAGGCTTCAATCTGAAGAATCTACTGAGACTCTAGACTCAAGTTATGTTGTGGGACAAGTGCTGAGCTCAAGGAAGCAAAAACAGTTGTTAAAGAAAGGTTCAGTCCCTTAATTTATAAAGATGAATTATTAAGCACATAACTTGATACAGCTTCCTTAATCTCTTAGTAAAGTTTTTTCCCTTAAACTCATCCAGATGGAGCCAACTAATTAAGACTTTGTTGAATGGTAGCTAAGAAATGCCTCCAAATATAACATGTACTAGATGGTTCTAGTACGTTCATTATAGATAGTGTAAACTTGGTTTAAACTGTATGGATTTTTTATGAGAAATGGTAAAGAAAAGTAAAGAACACTTTACTTCAGTGAAGTGTTCTGAGGACAACCTCCTTCACGGGAGAGAGAAACCAGTAAGGACCAAGCCATGTACTATATAGAAGTAAAGTGTTCTTTACTTCTATAGAAACCTTTTATAAACTGTGAATAACAGTCAGTGGTTTTTCTAGTAGCTTGCTGGTATAATTTTTCTTGGTCTTCTAATAGAATGACTTCTGTCATTATCAGTGAAAGGAAAAGCGGATTCTCATGCTCCTTCCAAGCAGAAGAAGAACGTGTTAACAGCTAGCACAGCCTCCACAGACTTACCAAATAGCAACAGTTCCAGCCTGGATGTCCTCAAACACATGATAAATGAAGTGGAACATGAAATGGAAGAATATGAACGATGGACAGGACGTGAGGTCAAGGGACTGCAGGGCAGTCAGGGCCTTACAGGCTTCACTCTGTCACTGGTGAGCTCCCTCTGTCGCCTGGTTCGGTACCTGAAAGAGGTAAGAGCAAGAGGTTATTAGAGTCTCCTCTTCAGAGTTTTTTTCCCTCTACACTTAATTTATTGCAATTTCCAAATGAAATATAGTCAAGTTTGAATAGCTTTGTTTAAAATACCTCAGTTTAGATTATCTGCAGTAAAGCTTTATCCTCTTAATTTTCCTCTACATGCTGATTTATGTATCATCTAGTATAAGTGATGTTGATTTTAATATGAGTTTTAGGAAATTGTAATTGGTAAGGTAAATCTGCTATAAATGAAATCATTGCTGACATTGAATATTATTGTTTGGCAGTATTAAATTCAATAGAACTACTAAACGTGTCCTTGTTCTATTGCTTTTCTCTGTGTTCCTACTCCCACTTTAGTTTGGAGAGTGGCATGCCTGTAATCTGTAGACACAGATGGGGGAAATTCTTCATGTTATCTGTGTGACTACTTGGGCTTTGTCTGAAGTGGAAGATCTTTTGTTGTGAAAACAATTTATAAGAGAAGCAAGAATTATTTCTGTAATTCATTTTTGAATAATCAGCCTTCAGAATGCTGTGGGATTAGAGTTAGCTCTACATTTCACCTTTCAAAAAATCTATTTAAACTTACTTATTTTTTATAAATTTAAGTTTGTTAAACAAATACAACAAAAAATGTTCAAGGAAATTTTACTATTAAAATAGTTGATTCAGGGGTGCCTGGGTGGCTCAGTCGGTTAAGCATCTGCCTTTGGTTCAGGTCATGATCCTGGGGCCCTGGGATCGAGTCCCACGTCAGGCTCCTTGCTGAGCAGGGAGCCTGCTTCTCCCTCTCCCTCTGCCTCTCCCCCTGCTTGTGCTCTCTCTCTCTGTCAAATAAATAAATAAAATCTTGAAAAAAACTTTAAAAAAATAAAATAGTTGATTCATCACTCTAATTCAGATGTTTCAATTTCTCTGGAGCTGTCTTCCTAAAATTACTTTTTAATGAAATATTTATTGTACTGTCAGACTTATGAAAGTCTTATCATTCTTCCATCCTTAAGTTAGGAGTCTCCAGGAGTGTACTTTTGGCTCTCTGAAAGTATTACAAGTTTAGTAGCTTCCACTTTTTAGCTAATCACTTGCTTTACAAAGTTAAAACCATTTAAGCCTGTTGTCATTTATTTTTAATTTTATTTTAACAAACTTAGTTCTTGAATTGGTGATTATAATCACATGGCATGAAATTAAAAGAAATAGAAGGATATAGATGAAAATTCTGATTCCCACCATTAACTTCCATTTAACCGGTTTGCTTCCTTGTAGCTAGCTATCATTATGAGATACAAGTGTATCCTTCTAGAGATGCTCTGTGTATATTCAAGCAATATGTTTGTCCTTCCCTCCACTTTATTCGACAAAAATTGTAGTTATATAAGTCTGTATACCATTCTGTTCATTGTGTTCTATATAAAGAAGGGAAAAGGACACAACATTTCGTTTTAATGCAATATAAACCTTTTAATAAAAATATGTAATTCTCATTACTGTCACACAATATATACTTCATAAGTATTTTCTTTGACAGCTTTGAGTAGAAACTCTTAGTTTTCAGTATTTTATGCTGTTGATGGGAGTTTATTTTTGGATGGGAATTTTATCTTATTATTGATGGAAGTTTTTTTTTTTTTTTTTGGTAGAGCGAGGTCCAACTGCGTAAAGAAGTAGAGACGAGGCAGCAACTGGAGCAAATGTTGGGTGATCATCGGGAGCTCATTGATGCTCTTACAGCTGAAATTCTTCTTCTTAGAGAAGAAAATACTGCTACCCAGGTACTTAGATGAGATCCCAAACTTTTCTGTGTTTAGTAGAATAAAACATCTTTAAGAATATATAAGATTCTCTTTTAGTTGCCTTTGGTTTAGTTGTGCTGATGTGATTACTTATCATTTCTTTATTATCAATGGTAGCTTTTATTGAACATTTATTATATTGGGGGTACTATAGTAGAAACTTGAGCTACAAATAATGTGCAGAATAAGTCTGCTATCTTTAAGAAACATACTATTTAGTGGGGAAGACAGAATGTACATTTAAATGGTAACTACCAATATTATAGCAGTTTATCCAAAATGTGAAGTAAATGTTGTGATAGCGACTTTTAATTTCAGAACAGCAGAGGATACCATTTAGGAAGCTTCCTGTAATCATATGCCATTTAAAGTTGTTTGCAGTATCTTCATATTTATTAGATAAGTCCTCTTTGACACTTGTCTAGCTAATTGCTCCTTTTTTTTTTTTTTTAAAGACTTACACAGTATTTCTTCTAGAAACTAATCGTACTGCCTCAGTGCTGCATTAAATATTCTTTATTTGTGCCCTTTTGGTACTCTCTGGATACTGCTCTCATTGCATTTACCAAATTATGTTAAACATACATGTATACCTGTCATCAAGACTGAGCTGCTTGAGGGACACCTGGGTGGCTCAGTCGGTTAAGCGTCTGCCTTCGGCTCAGGTCATGATTCCAGGGTCTTGGGATCAAGTCCCGCATTGGGCTTCTTGCTCAGCAGGGAGCCTGCTTCTCCTTCTGCCTGCTGTTCCCCCTGCTTGTGCTTTCTCTCTCTCTGACAAATGAATAAATAAAATCTTAAAAAAAAAAAAGACTGAGCTGCTTGAGGGCAGAGATGGTTTTATTCATCTCTTTGTTCTCCATTGACAGTTATTATTACTTTTATTTATCAGCCAAAAGAGACTGGAAAAGCAATAGTTAGTAGGCAAGTTGTATTGTATCAATGGACATTAGATATAATGCAATTTTTTATTGACCTATACAGTTCACATACCATTTAATTATCTTATTAAAGTGTACAGCTCAGTGGTTTTTACTATATTCACAGAGTTGTACACCAGCACCATTATCTAATTCCAGAATATTTTCCTCACTCCAAAGAGAAACCCCAAGCTTGTTAGCAGTCACTCTTCATTCTGTGCCCCCTGAAGTCTCTGGCAATTAGAAATCTACTTTGTGTTTCTATAGATATGCCAAATGTGGATATTTCATATAAATGATGAGCAGCTTTAAAATGTACTAACTGACTCAACAAATCTTTATTGATTTGGGCCTGGCACTGTTCTTGGTGCAGAAGATACAGTCATGAACAAAGAAGAAATCTTTGCTCTGTGGAGCTTATTCTAAATAAATCCTTTAAAAAAAAAAAAAGTGAAGTATATTGTAAGTTAGATGGTGATATGTACTGTAACGAAAAATAAAGCAGATAAGAGGCACAGGAAGTACCTAGGGTGGGGAATTGTAATTGGGATGGGCCATGCCTGTTTGAGGAAGTGGCATTTGAACAAAGGCCTGAAGAAGGTGAAGAAGTGAGTGATAGCTGAGAGAAGAGCAATCTAGGCAGTCTAGAACAGCAGGTCCAAAGGTCTTGAGGTGGAAGCATGGCTATTGAGCTAAAAAACCACTGGAGTGGAATGTGGGAAAGGGAGAGTAGTAGGCTGTCTTCTGGGACAAGCTGGCATTGGTCACAATGCAGGGAGACTTTCCTCCAGAGGATCAGTGCCTGTCAGTGCTGTGGGGGTCTCTGAAGTGTGGGGTTTTGAGACACAGCCGAGTCTAAGATAAGACACAAGAGTGCTTCACCATTTGGCAGTGGATAGCTCGGACACACACAGGGTGAAGGCAGGGATCTGACAGAAACCACGAACACAGGAGGGGTTGCTGTTTTAGCGTCTGTGAGGGCTTACTGAAGAGGGGTGGCCTGCGTTTCCTGCTCTGGAGAGGAGAGAACGGGGTAGAACCATCTTCTCCCCATGCCCACCAGCTTGACCCACCTCAGTGAGCTAAACAGTGCCACCAAGTGGAGAACGGAGCTGCTAGACTAAGCCCCGCCCCCCTGCTACATGCAGGCACATCTCCACTAGGGCAATTCCACCTGAGAATCTGAACAGCAGCCCCTTCCCCAGAAGACCAGCCACACCTAGTCTACTGATCATAGAGTGCTGCAAAGCTTCAGCTTTAGGGGAAAAAGGATCTAGCGTCCTTTGGGGTTTTGTGTGTGTGTGTTTGTTTTTTGTCTTTGTTTTTATTTGTTGTTTGTTTTTT